AAATAATACAAATTAATTTAAATATTCAAGTTTTTTTGCTTGCAAGTACCACGCAACGCAAATGTATTTAAATGTAAAAAGCATAACCTATCCTACCCGTAAACATATTTGCTGCACGTAATAATAAAATTTTGTTATAAATAAACAGGACTTGAATTCCGTTAAATATTAGAAATTGTGTAGTTACTAATAATACTATTAAATCATTTAGATATCAAAACTTTAAAAAATAACGAATATTCACCTGTTACACTTCACAATATCACACTAGTAGTAACCACGAAGAAATGATATCTCTTCCTTGCTGCTCCATGTTTATATACTAAACATCAGTGCCTAGGGTCTTCCCATCTCCCAAACAAGAGTTCATTCCTTGAGTAAATCCCCTGACAATCTTAAAACGCGCGCCCGCAAACGTTGATAAGAAGTTATTTGCATCTGTTATCAATTATTGTATTTTATTATTTAGCACATTATGTAAATACTCGTGGTTTTTTGGTTTTCTATAAACATTATCCATTACTACTACAAATAGGATGCAGGTTTGATTTCGGTGTCTGATGTATATATAGTGTTATATATACATCAGACACCGAAATCAATGCCTCGCGGTTTCACTCGCTTAGATAGCGATCCCGTGGTGGTGGAAAGTCTAATAAGTCGGACTATAGATATATTTTTGTTATCATAAAAGTTAGCTTTTGATTTTGAGTCATAATCTAATCAATATACAGATTTTACTTTAAAATGTTACGAATTTTAAAATATTTAATACATTTTATAATTCGTAACATCATTTACGTAGAATGTTCGACATTAGTAAATTTAAAAATACTCTACAGGTATTGAAAAATTGTTGATAGTGAAAGATTTTTTAATCAGTCCAGGAATTTTTAGCTTTATTATATAATATATGTATTTACGTATATTAAAATGCAAAAGTTTCTTCTTTAATATTAGAGAAGAGATTTATTTATAGAACTTAAGTGTCTTAGAACTTCCCTATACACAACATTTGACGTAGTTTTGTTTTGTGGCAGCAAAATAATTTCATGTTTTGGGGTTCCGACTCTGGATAGTCCAACATAAAATTGGCCATGGGTGAAACATTATTTTTATAGATATTGATACGTTCTATAAAATTTTTTGTTCTATCATCAATTATAGTTTCCTCAGCGCACGCGATGACAGATTTTTAATGGACAATTTTTGACACCTTGGGTTTATAATATTGCATTTTGTGGGATCAGTGAAGATTCAGCTTTCTAATAGTGAAAGAATTTTTGAAATCAGTCCAGTAGTTTTTGTGTGAAAACATTACAAACATACATACAAAAACACAAGATTTTATTTATAGCCAGGCCAACCTTGTGAGATATTTTGTACTAGTGCAAATAAGTATTGATATTTCCCAAATTGGAATAAAATTATTTTTTTAAAATAAACACTATTTAGTATCCTCATTTACCGTCTGATAAACGACTTAACGTACCTCATGGACCATGGATTCCCATTCCTCCACCTATTCGTTATACCATCCAGCAGCAATCATCAGAAAGTACAAATCAAAGAAACAGATGAAGACGAATTCATTTGTGATAAAGGCCAACCTTAACAGTCAAGCTGAACTAAATTACTTAGTGCCAGACTTGGGCCTATCAAAGCATGCTACACAAATCTTAGAATTACGATTGAAAAACAAAAATCTGTTTGGCTCTAGGAACCATTTTCGTGGTATAGGCATCGTGAAAAAGAGTTCGCGGAATATTTCTTTCAAGAGGGTTAACTGCTGAAATAGTATTCCTGAAGTAGTCATGAAAGTGGGAGCTGACAATTACGATTCCACATCATGGAGGTTATTTATTGATTCTACTAAAAGAAGTTTGAAGGGTTTTGCACAATGGTAATACTTATGCCTCGGTGCCTGTTACACTCATATCTCAAAGAAACGTGTGAGAATCTTAAGCTGTTGGTAGTAAATTAAAGTATAGCGAATATTGTTAGCACCTCTGTGGACACTTCAATATAATATCTAAGCTGTTGGGTCAGCAGTCTGGATTCACAAAGTATCCATTTTTGTGCGAGTATGGGAGTCGAGGACGAAATTTACATTATGTTAAGAAACGGTACAAAAAAAATGTGCAGCGTGATGCATTGTTTGACAAAAAATTAGTTTTCTGGCCTCTCCTTCACATAATGTTAGGATTGATGAAGCAGTTCGTCAAAGCACGAGGAAAGAAGGAATTTTGTGTAGACCCTCAAATTCGAACCTTAAAATCGGACAGATTGTACAAAGCAATTCTAGCCAACATTGTCGAAAATTATAAAAAAACTGTGATGCAATATGAGCGTCAAACAAACAAACATTACCATTATTTAAGTTTTGTTGGCATTTTATTACATTAAAAGAGGAAATATTTTTTTATAGACTCGCTCGTTCCATAGCGTCTGAAGGTCCAAGGAAAAAAGCCTATATTAATTAAACGTTTAGTCACGTTTATTTATTTGAGTTTATGTGTAAAATGCAACGGCTATTTAAAGTTATCATATCCGCTTTCACGTGCAACACAACTATACCCCAAACAATTTAAATAAACCCTTAACTAATGGGTTTCGGTGTATGATGGGAGGCAATAAGACGCCTTACGCCCGAACCCAATAATCAATCCTTAATCTCAGATTGAAAACAATCATAGATCAGACCGTGACAGTCGATCGATCTCCTATCTGCTTCCCAATAACCAAAGCCTACGAAGACAATCCATTTTTGGCGACGGCTAAAATGCTCTTTGTCGTTCCATTTTACCGAGTTTTCACTCATATTTGATAATCATTGTAAACCAAATAAAGTAAATAAAACCGTACAAATAACATGTAAATATACATATGTATGTTTAAAACATAACAAACAGTTTTTTAATTGTTTAAAAAACTGGTGTAAGTTTAAATCTGTTAAAATAATTAACAGTTGAAATCGAGCTTTCGTCATCTGTCATTTTCATACAAAGTTCTATCCACAGACACGATACGACCTCCCATGGATAGCTTGTATCGCCAGATGGCTATAATTACAATCCGTCGATTGGTTATTGGCACACTTGTTACAACATTTGGATCAAGATTACTATCTCATTATGGATTGAGAGAGGTAATTGTGTTCGGGTGTAAGTTGTAACAACGTTAAAGTGTAGCGAAAAGTTACAAGACTTAATTGTCACTAGTTGAAGTATAGTATCTAATAAATTGAAATACTTTTGACTGTGTAAGCAAATTCTGACTGGGAATATCCATCATTTTTGTTATAGGTGGAATATTACTAAAATGTAACAAATTTTTATTTGTAATGAATCCATGGCGATTTAAGGTTCACGAAGAGTTCATTGCCAGTTCTTCTCATCCGTTCTAAGCCCTTAACTGGCAGTAAGGGCTCCCACACAAAACTGCGAATTCGCATCGCATCGCAAATATCTGCGAATTCGCACGAACGCACCGCAAAAAGTTCCGATCTGCTTCGCAACGCAAATTCTTGCGATATTACGTCATTCTTGGTGACGCCATTTTAGTCCGCTCTGAGACAACTTTAGAGAAAGACACGCGGCGCCTCCGCCGCCTTCTTTGATTTTAAAAAATTGCGGAATATGATATGGATTTTTTTATATTTTTAATTGAGGAGCGTCCCGTCCTTTGGGACACAAGTGATGAAAATTATAAAAATAAATTTATTAAGCAAGATGCGTGGAAGAGCGTCTGTGAAAGTTTGCATCAGAGTTCATAATCGTAATAAATGGATGAACCCAGAATCTTCTTTTTTTTATATCTATTTAACAAGAACAGCATTGCAACAATCTTTTGCGATCCATCTTATGCTTCCTAAAAACACGTCCAGTACGGCTGACTACGAAGGAATGGTCGCCCTACCAAACGGTTTGCCGCACTAAATCGTATCGCAGAAATTCGCATCGCAAATTCCTGCGATGCGAATTCGCAGGCATCGCATCGCATCGCAGTTTTGTGTGGGAGTCCTAAGTGCCAGTGCTAAATTAAGAATCATTTTTTTAGTGTATATACTTACCTAAATGATATCTTGATTTGATTTCAATCACATTTATTTATTTGCAGAGTAAAATCTAAATCTGTGTTGTAATGCGCAGTGCTTGTTAACACGCATCTTTCGTTTTTGAATTATAAACATATTTTTTAAGTTTTAGCTATAAACAATGTTGTACTCCTGATTTTAAGTATATTCTCGTAATGTTTCCTATGAATAGCAGCTATTTAAACGATGAAATCATTAAAAGCATTTATCTTAGCTAGGTCTAAATACCTAACTAAGATAAATGTATCTTTGTAATAAATTCAATTGGTTCAAGTTTTGTGATCTTACATTCCTAGATGTGAAGTTGAGTATAAAAACTATAATGGCAAGGAGAATAACTAAGCTACATATTGTACCTTTTTTTCTCTTTACTTTAAATTTATTTGTGAACCAGCAAACGCCTGAGAATTTGTCAATTTTTGTTTTCTTTTAACCAACACTAAATAGTAACTAACTTGCTATCTCAAACTAAAACTTTATATGGATATAATATGACGACTCATTGGTCTAGTGGTTAGTGCCCCTGACTGCGAATCCATGGGTCCCGGCTGAGACGAACATCGATGTGATGAGCATTTGGTGTTGTGCTTAGGTCTTGGATGTTTAAATATGTATTTATATGTCTATCTATAATATGTATGTTTATCCGTTGCCTAGTACCCATAACACAAGCTTCACCAGCTTAGCATGGGACTAGGTCAATTGGTGTGAATTGTCTTTAAAAAAAAAAAAAAATTCCTTATATTAACAGAAAGTATATTGTAATAAGAACGGCGTGAATTTTAAATGAAAGACATGTAAAGGAATTGGGAACTTGGAGTGGCCCTAGGTATAACGGTATAAATTGTACGACTATAAAAATACAAATTAATAAATAAATACTTTAATTCTTAATAAGCAACAATCACCAATTGTAATTGTAGACGGCTCTGCCGCCGTAATCAGGTCGACGTCCAGAAATTTGATCGTAAGTGCCTTGAAGGGAGATATCGCCGTTCTTACCGACTGGCCATTTTCCACCACCAGCCGCAGACCACTGTAAAAATAGTAATTGATAATGTAAAAATACTTAATAATGTTCAGGTTCGCGTAACATGGTGATGAGGCAAGGAAAGTTATTTGTTCACAAAAACTACGTATATTTACGATATGAAAAATAAAATACTAAACACTAGGTATATGTTAACTTACATAAAGGCTAATTATCATATTCATTATATAAAACTCTTTATACTCCGCTTCACAAATACTGATTTGTTTTACGAAACAGGAATATACGGGATTAATTAAGTGTTTTGAAAAAATATCAATGAAGTCGACACAAGTTTGAAGATATAAATCAAATTACATACAGAAGTGGGTCCATGAATCTGTTTGCTAACATCCAGTGAGGCAGCAGCGTTGGAGTTTTCCCAGTTCAAGCCTCCTCCGAAGTGAGAGGAGTCTCCAAGAGGTCCTAGAACTCGGGTACCAGTTGCCTGACCCGTTAGCTTTCCTCTGTTGTCATCGAAGAACTGATGTTCATATCCTCCTTTACCCTAAAATATTTTATTTTATTTGAATATCAGTATAAAAATATGTATAGATTTTAAAGAAATTAATAAGAAAAATGAATAAGGAATATTTTTTAAAGAAAGTTATAAAAATATTTCTCCTATTCTATTAAGTAATTATCCTAGCTAGTAATTATAGTTTTTCTTTTAGTGTCACTAAAAATAACTTAAAGTGTACAAAATGTATAACATTATATTTATACAGGTGTCTAAATTGTGGCGTTTTTAAAATTGTTGCTCAAAAAAGGTAATGAAAAAAATCTACTATCCAATGTTGGGATACATAAAAAGACATAAAAAGAAGGCGCATTTAGTGCTAATTCTAAAATGGTAACACTTATTACAAAAACTTCCGAAAACATCCGATTTCGGGCTCACGTTGATTTATATACCCAGTATAGTATGCTATAATATTTCATTTTGTTTTTGATTTTTAATCTAGAAATAATGTTTATTTAAAATACTCACGAATAATCCATCGTCATTGGCTCCAAGGGTTCCAAAAACTTTACCATTTTCCCCAACTTTTTGGTCTACTGTGAGATCACGGCGTACCCTCATTTGAGGTTCTAGGTACCATTCTGGGTAGCTAAGGAAAAATGCGTAATTGTAGTAAGGGTAAATTAATTTAATTTAATATTTCTATAGAAACTGAAAGATTCATAACTATTCCTTTTAAAAAATTGGTTAGTATATAGTTATGAAATTGATTATATATAGCTGTAACTAGGTGTCCAATAAAAGCATATAAAGAATATTCTAACATTAATTATACAGTGTATCTAATTAGTTTAAAACTAGCAAAAGTCTTGTACACTTTAAATATTGCTTACCCATCATCAACAAGTTCCACATAATACTCTTGCGCTGCCACTGCGCACACAATCGCAAATAATACACAAAGGAACTTCATTTTATCTGAAATATTAAAGAGCCAAATGTCATTAGGCAAAAACAATACTTTAACTATTTAAAAATATACAAATGTATTTTTATTTGTTTACAAATTAAAAAAATATGAAACCTTTCTAGCTGTCAACATATTTACGTTAATAATGTTATAAATAAACAAGAACTAAATTCTGTAAAACATTTGAAATTATCACAAGAAAGTTATGAACATTTAGCTTCATTGTCGCTTATAATATATTGTTTTATAATTTAATTACTTCCAAATCAATGAGAATTCTAATCTTAAAAATAAATTTCGAATATTCACCTGTTAAACTTTACAATATCACAGTAGTAGTACTCACGAAGAAATGATACCTCTTCCTTGCTGCTCCATGTTTATATACTAAACTTAACTGCCCAGGGTCTTCCCATCGTCCGAACAAGAGTTCATACCCTGAGTAAATCCCCTGCGAATCTAAAAGCGCACCGGCTAAAGTGCGTCATCGCATCTTCATTGATAAGAACTTATTTGCATCTGTTATCAATTATTGTAATATTTAGCACATTATGTAAAGTCTCGTATTCTTTAGTATATAAACATAATTATTGGTTCATGATTTAACATACATAATCAACATAATATACAAATTCTTGTCATAGTATTAACCATGGCTATGTATTAACATAGGCAACTATATTTAGTATTTTTGGATCGTAATTTCTACCTTCTGTAGAAACAGAATTCAAAAACACACAAGTTAAAAACTTGGTCTCACCACACCGCCACACCAGCTTGGCTCATATGAATACTGCTTCTTCGGTAAACAAAAAGGGATAAATGCATAAAGACACTTTTTATTCATACAATAAATGTAATTATTTCTTCTCATAATATTAGGCTTGAATATGTATTCGTTTTTACAACAAACTCCCAAGCGAAATTAGAGAATTATCACTGAATAAATTCAAAGCTCTCGTTAAACGTAAATTAATCAATAAAGCTTTTTATAAATTTGACGAATTTGATTGCTCCAGTTCAAACAATTTGTATGACTCAAAACTTAGCGATTAAAAAGTGTGGCGGAGAGTTTTTTGCCAGTTCTTCTTGCCAGCTCTACGCCCTTGACTTGCGACAGTAACATCTTTTCTGATGACGTTCATAAGTGTACTTGTTTACCTATATGAATAAAGTTATTTTGAGTTTGAGTTTTTATAAAATATAAGTATGCGTATTCAACCTCTGAATAGATTAATGCAAACGTGACCAACCGGCTTTTGGAACACAAAAAACTTAAAACGGAGTTGTGTGAAGCGATATCGCAGAAGTAAGTCTGCTATTATCATATTATGAATACATAAATCAATTAATACATTGTTTTCCGATAAACAATTTTACAATAAATAAATTGTGCGTGTACTAGGTGTACACACGTAAGAAGTGAAACTTCTTTATGATCTTATTTTTCGAAAAATGATCTAATATATGCAACTTTACAGAAATTCGTTAAATTAGATAAAGTTTAACAAAAGGCTTTTATTATCATAGACATGAATACAAATATTTCATTTTACCTTATTACTTAAAGATTATTATAGAATTTCATTAATTGTAATAGAATCATTACTATCATTGAAAAACGTGACGATTTGCTACAAAATTTCTCCCATACGTCGATAAAGAAGTTTCATTCCAACGCCGATAAAGATGTTTGACTTCAAAAAGCAACATGGCGCTTAACCGTAAAATGTGACGCGTAACGAAAAAATGTTACACTAAATTTTTTTCCAACCTCGATAAAGAAGTTTCACTTCAATAATAGAACTGTATTTAAAATAAGCGATAATTTATCATTAATAATTCTATAGAAAAGTTACGTAACAATTCGAATATTGAAAAAAAACTTCGTTAAGATATATTGTAGGTACCGATTATAAAAGTTCAACACACTTCGTTAGATCGGGGATTATTTCGCGTGAGTAATGAACTAAAACGCTTATCAACAGGAAAACACAATTCATAACTAATTAAACGCGATCTCGTGCGTCAGTTTTCTCTAAAAATCCCCGAGTTTAGTTTAGTATTGCCGTGCTTATGATATATAATAACATTTAGATCTTTTTTGTGATCTTCAATTGTTTTCTTTCAATATTTATAATTATAGTTAACTTGATACACAAATTTTACTAATTCCTAGTCTAGATATAATATAAAACTCCTACAAAGATAGTTAAAGATAAACTCTGTTAACAGATTGTGTTACAATATGTTTGTGAGCAAAAATAAAATAAAATAAATCTCTATATTATCTAATATATAAAATTCTGGTGTCGCGGTGTTTGTGGTTAAACTCCTTCGAAACGGCTTGACCGATTCTCATGAAATTTTGTGTGCATATTGGTTATGTCTGAGAATCGAACATCTATTTTTCATCCCCCTAAATGTTAAGGGTAGTCCACCCCTAATTTTTTTTCTGTTTTTATTTTTTTATGATACAGTATTAAAAATACATACAACCTCTAACTTTTACCCCTCTACGATCAACCCCTATTTTTTTATTATAAATGATATACATGGCAAAACGACGTTTGCCCGGTCAGCTAGTAATTTTATAAATCTTTAAGATACTTAAATAAGAATATATTTGTCTGTATCGACGATCTATTAAATCAGTAGCAGCATAGGGTTGTCAAAATATTATACTGATTATCGAACTATAATCACTTCGTAAATATTATGACTCCGAACTGAACACCGAACATTGCAAACAAAATATTTTATAAAGCCATTTTAATTAAAATTCGTATGCTGTGATTTATTCGTTAAATGTCTACTTCCTGTTATTAAATGCTTTAGCACTAAATCATGCATTTTACAAATGTTAAAAAGTAAATTCTAGGCTGCAAATCGTGATAAATAACATAACAATACCCGTGGCTACTTGACATCTGTCACTATAATAAAAAAATTCAATTCAATTTAAACTGCTAGACACCAAATTTTTACCCCTTATTGTGTAATCCAATATTGGTGTAATGGTGTGAATAGAGGAATTTGTACTATTCTAATCTAAAGCATCGACCGGTCGAACCACTGACTTGCCCGAAGACTCCAGTGGATGAGGTCGGTAAACATTTCATCAACCTCACCTTGATGGCTGTAAGTCTTCCACAATCCGTTTCACAAGGCACATTCTTTTGCGAACTAGCGAACTGTGGAATCGACTCCCGGTGGGGGTCTTCCCTGAGAGATACGACGTCCAACTATTCAAAGTAAGAGTGTACTCCTCCCTCAAAGGCCGGCAACGCACCCACTAAAAATGACTGCCCTTTTAAAAAAAATCTTTATATAAAAAAAACTTCGAGAGAGCGATGCAGGGTTATCTATAACATTGTATGACTTTATTCCAGATAATATCTGGAACATATTATGTAGGTGTCGCTACAAAAGTCATAAGTCAGCTTTCTTGATCTTATTTATGAAGTAGTCATTAGAACAGAAAAGTGACTAAGTCACTTTAAAAAAAATCGGAATCATTGATGTAAAAATTCCAGATTTCAACCGCACCACCTTGATGGGTGGAAATCTTCTGCGTTTCGCTTCACTAGGCATTTTCTACTGACTAGCAAACCCCTCGTGGAGGTCTTCCCTGGGATGGATCTCCAATTATTTATGATATAATATAGTTTATTGGAAATTCGACGTATTCCGGTAGGTGATAAGAGTGACTATTTGTGATAATTTTGAATGTATCATGTCTTTTATTTTTATTTAACAAAATAAGTCAAAATTGCAACATCAAAAATAAATTTATTAAAAAAAATCAAATTGATACTTTTTGTGGTTAAAATTATGTCAAATCCCTATCACCTCCTCACGAGTATATGTCCTTCAAGAAAAGAGCGTACCAATTCTTAGGCCGGCAACGCACTAGGCCTCGGCAATGTGAGTGTCTATCACGTTTACCCTCTGTTAAGGCTGGCTGCGTTGATTGCCTTATATGGGTATCCTGAACTGCGATTTCTCTACAGTAATGTCATTGAAGAACACCAAAACAAATATAGTTTCACAATGCTTGGGGAAATAAAATATAAAAGTCAGTTTAAAAACCTTTAATCTTTACACACCGTAGAATCTTAAATTACAAACAAATTAAATACATATAAATAGTAACGAATACAAAACTATCGTAAGGAAACACGAAAAGCGATTTATTAATTTCAAATGGTATGAAAAGGAATAATATAAAAGAACCTGAAAGAGATGAAAGATAGGTACTTAGAGAGGAAGACAGCAAGATTCAGAAAAAAATATAGATTGATAATTATAAAAATTTTAATAAATGATAGACTATTCAAAAGCGTTATTGTTTAGTTCCAAATATGGCCACGAAGCGCTACTCAAGTTCTCCTTACAGAAGTGATGTTTTTTCTTCACTTAGGCTGAGATTCAGAAATGAGATTAAGCGCGAACTGTCACTCCCATATGTCAAAATCCAGTAGATTTTTGTTAGTTCCAAATATGGCCACGGAGCGCTACCCGAGTTTTCCTTACAGAAGTGATGTTTTTTCTTCACTTAGGCTGAGATTCAGAAAGGAGATTAAGCGCGAACTGTCACTCCCATATGTCAAAATCCAGTTTTTGACGTACGGACGAATCGAACTTCGTTTCTGAACTTAGCTTCCGTGTTTTGTATTCGTCTTTAACTCTAGAAAATATTAAACTTTTCTTAAACTAATTAAATATTGCGTATAATATTTACAATATGGCGATAAACCCATGATAAAATTTGACCCAAAAAATAACTAAAAAATTCGCAGAAATAATTAGGACTTGTTTTCGAAAATAACCTGATTTACTTATAAGACACTCCCATGCAAAAACGTACACAATAATATCACACAACTGCTAGCTTACCACATAAACTGGATGGCGATAGTTGTTTAGAAAAAAAAAACTAGCTTTAATGACGTCATACCGAAGTTTGGTATGTTTCAATAGCGAAAGCAAACTTAATATTG